GTCTCGTCCCTGCCGCACGGCAGCGCGTCCCTGGCCCGCCCTTCCCTGCAGCTCTTACCTTAGCCCTCCCGGGCCGGGGCTGCAAGCTGCGCACCGTGCTGGAGTCGAGCTCAACGCCTACCGCAGGGATACTGCTCGCCGCCACCTCCGCAGCTCACCCGCTGGGCACAAATGCGCGTGCGCAACGGAGAGTCAAAGCGTACCTTCACTGGACCGCCGCGCTTGTCCTTTTGGCCTACATTTCCCAGAACTCACCGCGAGACACCTGGTACAGTGTCCGAGAAGGGACTGGCCGCTGACGGCTAGGGGAGGCGATCTGGCGTCCTTGAGAAGGCTGAAGACTTCTTTCATTTCTGACCATCTGTCCCTTTACTGCCCTCATTGTGTTCGAAATTGTAGTGACAATGATATTAAGGAAGGGAAAAGTGTATGTATTAAAAAATGTGGACCACTAGCCATCCACTGCAGTTTTCTGTCAGGTTATAAAAGGATTGGTAGAATCTACAGTTATGTCTAAATTTTGTAACCTGCAAAAGATTGTGTGTGTGTGTGTGTAGTGGTGGTGGGGAGGTTGGTCATCTGCAGTGTGAGGATGGAGCCAGGGCCTCCTCATGGTAAGCAAGGGCTCTGCCACTGAAACCAGAAGATACATATTTTAACTGCGACTCACACTGAATCAAAACAACAGTTTAAACTCAGTATTTCCCTTTTCATAACATTCATTACTTGTTTTAAAGAGCTCCTTTAATCTTAAGATAAAGGCAGGCCTCCAAGATTGTCATCCTCCCTCAAGGACTAGCACTGTATGCACTAAAAAGCATACGTCTGCATTGATGGAGGCAGATGCTGGGAATCGATCCCAGGGCCTTGTGCATCTGGAGCTACACCTCCAGCCCCTGTATTGATTTTTTTTTTCAGTACTGGGGATTGAACTCACAACCTTGGGCTTGCAGGGCAGGCAGTGGCACCACTGAGCTAAACCCAAGTCCCCTGTATTGGTTTTTAAAATATCAAACATAATAGTTTACAAATGCATAAAGTCAAAGAATTCTTGAAGGTGCAAAACACAGAGATGGTCTAGGATATGCTATGCAAATAATCTGAAAAAAACCTGGGATCACAATGTTACAATAAAAAGACAAAAGTCGTTTCAAAATAAAAATTATTAAATTGGACAAAATAAGCTGTCTGCCTCAAAATGATATTATGAAGGTTATTTAATAACAGCATAAAAAACAGAGATGATGTCAAAAGTGGCAGTGAAAGAATAGAAGATATAATGGCCTGTGAATGTAGTTCATAGATGGAGCACTTGCTTAGCATGGTCAAGGCCTTTGATTCGCTTTTGCACTGGACACACACACATGCATGTTATGATAGTGTAATAAGGTTATTGTTTTATTCATAGGGATGACATAAATACTAATTAACTTTACATGCACATTTTTATGCTTAAATATGTTAAATACTTATCAGAAAACACTGAGCAATTAGAAATACATGACTTTACAACTAGTCACAAAGTAATCTTAAACTAATTCAACATTCTTACTGATAGCAAAAGTCTGATATACATAAATTCAAAGTTATGTAAACATTATAGGATAAAGCAAATAAAAATTAGTCATCAGTAGCCAATATTTTCAGACTGACCAAAAAAAAATACAAATGAAAATTTTAAAGAAGTGAAAGGGCTATTCACTAATGTTTAAATTGGAAACATCAATAAGGCAGTTTTGGTTCTTTCTTTAGAAAAATAAAAAACAACCTTTCCCTGTCTCCATCTGCTGTAAAGTCCTAAAAGGAATGATAATCCAATAGCAATTAGTAAAAAAAAATGTTTAACACAAAAAAAGGATCATCTTTAAGATGAATTGTAACTGGCACTGGTTCTTGAAAGCAGGAAAGCTAGCCAAGGGTCATGGCAAAAGAAGAATCCACCGTGAAAGATTTGTAGTGGTAAAGATGGAAGAATTTTGTTATTAACTGCAAAAGACTGAAATTCATCAAATACTGTAGGAATCTATCTTCTACTCTTGCCAGAATAGAATAAAAGGAACTGGAATTACCCTTTCATCCTGTTTCATTTTTGTTTGCAATACTAGGAATTGAACCCAGGGCCTTGTGCTAGGCTATGGCTCTGCTAATGAGCTATATCCCCATCCCCTACCCTCCCACTTCAACATGCAATGCCAACACAATCCAAAGATAAAACACAGAGCGTGAGGTGACAAAGGACACTGGTTCCCAAGGAGCAAAAAGCAAATCAAGTGAGTCCTACAGTTGTCTACCTTGTTGCTTTGACAGAATCCGGGTTAAGGCACAGAGGAAGTGTTAGCCAAATCCAACAGATAATCTTGAGAAAAGCTCTCACTATATTAGTAGACTTCCTTGTCTACAAAACCCTACAGCTAAAACCATACTCCTTGATCAAAGAGTGCTTTCCCCCTAAGATCAGGAACAAGGCATGAACGTATGCTCCCACCACTAACATTCATCCTTTTAATGGTGCGCATACCCATGGGGATAGGGTGAGAAAAGGCATCTGAACTGACAAGGAAAAGAGTAAAAGTACCTTAACTCAAAACTAATGCCAGCTCTAGAAAGAAAAATCTGATGGAATTATTATCCACAGCTAAGCTAGACAGAGATCAATGTACCAAGGCCTGATGAGACATGATAACTGAATCTGATGAGGAATCCTGAAACTGAAAAGGGAACAATGAAAGGCATCGATGAAATAAATATGAATGTGGAATTTAGCTAATGGTGATTTGTCAAGATAGGCTCATTAATTGTGTTATAGTGTGCCAGAATATATCATTGTGTTAGTCAGCTTTGTGGGACTATAACAAATACCCAAGAGCATCAACTTATAGAGAGAAAAGGTTTATTTTGGCTCATTGGTTTTAGAGGTGTCAGTCCACATTAAGTTCACCCCACTCCTGTGAGCACCACACCCTGGCTGGGGCATGTGGAGGAGCAAAACTGTTCATGTCATGACGAAGAAGTGCCAAACAGGAACAGGAAGGGGCTGGACCCAGATTCTCCTTCAAGGACATGCTCTCATTGACTTGAAGACTTCTGCCAGGCCCCATCTGCTCAAGGTGCTACCACCTCCTGACAGTACGCACCCAGATGGAGGCCAAGCCTTTAATACAAGGGTCCTTAGGAGATATTCAACAGTCAAACTATGGTAGCCACACAAAAATATGCCACTTTGACATAAGGATTATTTTGAAGCAAAAGAGAATCAATGGATGCAGAAACTTTTGAGAAATGAAAAATGCCATAACTCCCCAGTCCTGGGAAGTTTTATAGCCAGGAAGAAGATGGAAAGTAGTGCTGAGATAGACTTGCACAAGTAAGTCTGGTTTCCCCCTAATATTTACCTTCTTACAGTTTGCTGTCACTGGCCACCTAAAGCCCCTTGCCTTTGTGGTTGCATTTTCTACACATGTACTGCTCTCTTGTTAAGATGCCCTCTGAGAGCCATGCATGGTAATCACAGCTCTGTGCAAGGCAGGAGGATCACAAACTCAAGCCCACCCCAGAGCTCAGGGAAGGACCTCGGTCTAGTGCCCCGATGCTGGGGGAAAGAAAAGATTCTCCACCAGACACCATTGGAGCCTACCCATCACTAAAGTCTCTCCCATGCATGTGCAGTGGACCTTTTGGTAAACTCTTACTGCTTTTCTTTTCTCTGTATTTTTTTTTTTTTTTTTTTACCAGGGATAGAACTTGGGTCCTTGCCCTTGAGAATCCACTGAGCTAAATCCCTGGCCCTCTTTTATCTGTCTTTTGTCAATCTGATTTGCAAGGTCCTAGCTGGAGGAGCTGGCGGTAGGAGGGAGGTAACCCTCTCCGTAGTGTGAAATGCACTATATTAATGTAAGTTATTTATCATATGAGTGTGGCTTTCATGGTAACTTTACCGTTTTTGCAACTTTTCCATAAATCTAACACTATTCTCAAATTCAAAAGCTTATATTAAAAATAAGATCTAGGACATGTGGAATTATTCTAATATTAAGCAAGTAAGCATTATATGTGTTAAAATATCTTCATAGTGTAATTAGCATTTCTTCAATTGGTAAAACATTTGCTTATATGTTTGTTTTCATTGGTGTTGTTGCCCTGTGTTTTAAAATTCATTTTCCTTCTCATAAGGTCTTGGTGTTTTTCTTTAATTTTTGAATCATTTTACTGCACATATTTTAGAGGTCTTCCAATTTTCTCATAACTCACAACAGTCTACATTGAAAAGTATATAACAGCAATTCTAAAAATTATTTGCTTTTCTATATACCACACACAGAAAGAAAGTGTATGTTTAAAAGAGATCTCATTCAACATAGCTATGAGAATAGCTATTCAAATTATCTAGTCATTAGTTGACAAAATCTTTCAAGGAGACTATTATGAATGCTTTATACTTTTTTTAAAGATGTAGAGAAGAGCTAAATAATTTATGAGATATAAAATGCTCATGGATAGGAAGACTCAATTGTGCAAAGATTCTAGCACTCTTCAAATTGATCTATATGTTCAATCTATCTGAAAAGGAAATGTATCCCAAAGGATTTCTATGGCATTTAATATATTCACTCTAAAATTTATGTAGAAAACAAAAGGACTAAGGATAATCAGAGCGCAGGATAAAGCAAGATGATGGATCAAGATGTAACACAAAGCTGCATGAATTTTTAAGCGGCAACAGAATAGATACAGATATAGAGATGAACTGAAAAGAATACAGTCCTTAAAATAAAGGATGCCCAGATGAAAATCCACATATAGAAATCCATACATATTTCTAATTATAGCCACGTACTACCTAACAATGTTGTCACCAATAACAGACAGCATAGATAATAGTGGCTGTATCAAATAGCCTAGGTAGGCTATGCAATCTAGATTAGTTTAAATATATTCTGTGAGGTTCACACAAAGATGAGATCCCCTAACAATACATTTCGAGGAATAGATCTCTGTCATTAAGCAACACATGACCATATGTGGAAAACTGACAACACAAATCATACAGAAAAAGACAAAGTATTAATAAATAAGTGGGAATGCATTGGGTAACCGTCATTCAAAGGAACAGGGAATCCAGACATTCGATCAAACACATTCTGGGCATGTGTGTAAGGGTGTTTCTGGATGAAATGAACATTTAAATCTATAGACTGCATAAAGCAAAGTGTTTTAACATAATGCACATGGGTCTCCTTCAACCATTTAAGGTCTGACTAGCACTGAAAGGAAAGGGAATTCCTCCAGCCTTGTCTGCCCTGGCTGGGACAGCCGTGTTTTCCTGCCTCTGGTCTTGAACCGAAGCATTAGCTTTCCTTGTGTCTCACTAGAGCGTCGCCGTCAGCTCTCCTGGTTCTCAGGTCTCTGGACTACACTACGGCCTCACCTGGGTTTCCAGCTTGCTACCTGTACATCTCGGGGGCTGCATCCTATACCACTGTGTGCACCAATTCTTGCTAATAAATCTCATGTATATTTATGCTGTATATACCTCATTCACATATGAATCTAATATATGAGATTTACATTTCACTGCACAACTCTGACCACCGTAACAGGCATTAATGACATCTGCAAATAATGAAAGCTGTGTGTTTTCCAACTCAATGATAATGTTTCTCTTTTCTTACACTGATGAGTACCCTCTACATGGGGTAGTAATTGTCCCATTTTGAATTTTAAGGAAATAAACAATTTAAATGACTAATCACTGAGTGCAATGTTTCTTGT